ATATCAAGAATTACTACTAAGCTATAGTAATTCATATAACATCAGTCTACAGGTGGACAAATGACCAGTTGAAATGAAGAGATGTGAAAAACAAATCCAGACATGTATAAATATGTGATATGGGACATCTGTGGCATTATAAGTCAATGGGGAAGAAATGAATTATTGAATAAACAGTTCTGGGCATCTGCCCATTCAAATGAAAACAAAATTCACAAAAATCACGCAACACACCCAAATTTGTTCTGGATGGATGAAGGCTTACTACGAAAGTCAAATTATTAGAGAAGAAAATGTACTTCTTTGTGATTTCATGATAGACAAACATTTCTTAAAGGAAAAAGCACAAATCCTAAGGGAAAACTTTAACACACTAGACCACATTAAAATCTGCTGCTCAAAGATGACATTAATAAAGTAGAAAAGGGCCGGGCGCGGTGGCTCAAGCCTGTAATCCCAGCACTTTGGGAGGCCGAGGCAGGTAGATCACGAGATCAAGAGATCGAGACCATCCTGGTCAACATGGTGAAACCCTGTCTCTACTAAAAATACAAAAATTAGCTGGGCATGGTGGTGCGTGCCTGTAATCCCAGCTACTCGGGAGGCTGAGGCAGGAGAATTGCCTGAACCCAGGAGGCGGAGGTTGCGGTGAGCCGAGATTGCGCCATTGCACTCCAGCCTGGGTAACAAGAGCGAAACTCCGTCTCAAAATAAATAAATAAATTAATTAATTAATTAAATAAAATAAAGTAGAAAAGGAAAGCCACAAATAGAAAGAAGATAATTGCAGTGCCTGGTACTGACAAAGAATTAGAGACCATAAATATAAAGAATTCCTGTAAATTACACGAGTAACAAATGATAGAAGCAGGTATGTAACAGAAAAGGAAACGTGGTTGGCCAGAACTCACAAGTAATAAAAAGAATGCACACTCAATCCACAGTGGGACACTGTTTTCCTCCCCACCAAATTATTAAAAATCAGGAAGTCTGATAATACCAAGTACTGCTGAACCCATGAAAAGTAATTTGGAATATCTTTTGGCATTATCAAACAATGCTTGAGATGTATCTAACTTTTAATCTAAAGATTACATTCTGAAAGCTCCTCCCCATAAGCATGCACACAAGGAAATGGATGAAAATTTTCACATAACCAAGTTTGATATATTTTACCGTGAAATACCACAGCCCATTGAAAATGAATCGACAGCTAGGTCCATCAACATGAATGAGTCCCAAGACAGAATGCAGTAGGGGAAAAAAGCACATGGGCGAAGAACACCTATCTTGTGGTTCATTTTCTATAAAGTTCACAAGTATGCAAAGCTAAATTACACATTATTTAAGGATTCAATAATACTAGGTAATGTATTTTTGAACAACCAAGGAAAGATAAATATAGAAGTCAGTTTTCTCTGGGAATACAGATAAGGATATTTTTAAGGCTGGGAACACAAGGAGGCTTTAAAATTACTCGTGGTATTTTAAGTTGATCAGTGAATACAACAGTGTGCAGTGTCTTCATGGACTTGATTCCTCACCCTCATGGGTGCTTAGGATTCTAGACCCTCCTACCTTATGAAGAACTGTTTTAAAAGATGACCTTTTCTTTCTCTGGCGTAGTCAGAATGTCATGCCCTTGTTCCGCATGGCTTGTGATTGTGAAATATAAAGATAAAGTATTCTAGCATTTGTAGTGCCGGAAATACCGTGAAAGTTACTAGAGATGCTGCATTAATCATGTATTTTGTTTTCTGTTTTTGTGATACCTTGACATCTTAAAAGCCTTCCTGGCAGGAGGGAGAATGCCTCTCCCAGGGATAACCCTTTCTTAAGCAAACGTCTGGGCTGGGAGCATGTCTGTCATACACAAACCAGCCAGTCTGGAGTCTGTAGATCCCCCCAATCCCTTATTTAACTCTCACGCACAAAGCCAATAATGTATTCCCTGCCTTGAATCCTCCCAGATTAGAGCCTGGTACAAGGCAACTAAAGATTACCCCTCTAGCCAAAACCCTAGCACTATTTAAACGAGTCAGTTCTGATCCCTTTTCCTTGCTTGGCCTTCACCTTTTCCATGGAAATCCCAATAAAGGGTCTAGGTATGCTGTGCCCTTGCTCCTGTCTTCTGACACTGACTGAAGCTCTGTGCCCTGTGGCCCTGCCTGGCCTGCAGTGGCTGCCTCTCTGTGATCCATGGGCAGAATAACGTGCCTCATGCCAGGCCCCGCTTTCTTTCTGTGGCAACACCAGCTTTACGTCCAACGTTGACATAGCCAACATTTACAAATGATGCCCCATAATGATTTTTATACTCCTGCATAGCCCAACAAATAAAGTTCCTGAAGCCACAACATCTAGTAGTGGCTTCTGCAGTTTCAATCTTTTATGCACAGTGCATATCATATGTAAATGTCTCTTTCTACTGGAATCAGAAATACATGTTTTCCACAGTGAAAGCAACATTTTAGCTTGTTTTTCTTATCTGAGTTGTTTCCACATTGGGCCAGGTTGTGTAGGTGACTTGTTTCAAAGACAATTGCTGATTTCTACACATGAGCCAAAGCATTTACGTAGAGAAGTTTAATCTCGCTACAGAAATCCATGGCTTTTATACAACCTGTTTTGGAAACAAATTGCAAAATCAGCTCAGGATTATTTTAGGTTGGACTGAGAAGCAGCTTGTAATCCTGATGCATCCTAAATCAATGTTCTTGTTACAACAAAGGCGGTACCAGTGGGAAGAGGGAGACAAACTTTTTCTTTTAACCTTTGACTTAGGTTAAGTTTTACCAAAATAATGTTAAGGAATAAACAGTGACCCAGTTTGCTTTGATTTAATAAAAATTTGGCAAAAGTGTCTAATATGGTTTCTGGCCTGATTTAATTGTGTCTGGGAAGCTGCTAATATCCATCCACATAAAACTCCCTTCCAAGCTGCCAGAATGTCCCTGCTGACTTATTTGGCAGAAAGTAGTTGCTTTGGCCTCAGATGTGAACCAGCAAGAAGCTGGACTCTGGGTTTATGCAGCCCTGACATGTGCCCTCCGGGACAGCCCCTTTGACGGTTCCAGTCATCATGGCACATTCTCTGTGAGCAAAAAATGTTGTCATAAAAAACACTGCAACAATAGTTGATGTTGGCGGTGCTATGGTACTTGAGGATGAGCATGGATTCTAAACTCTAAGTTCCTCTGTACCTGTAGGAGGACACAGAGCAGCTTTCAAGAGGGTTAATTACCTGAGTGGTAGTGGAAGTGTTACTTTCATTGTGAGCTGTGTGTTAGCAAAGCATCTATGATTGTCCCTTCATATCTGTGGGGGACTGGTTCCAGGACATCAGCAGATACGAAAATCTGCAAATGCCCGAGTCCTGGATATGAAATGATACGGTATTGCACATAACCTCTGTGCATCCTCCTGTACACATTCAATCATCTCTAGATTAATGTAAATGCTATCTACATAGTTGTTAAACGATATTGTTTAGGGGAAAACGACAATAAAGACAAAAGTCTGTATATGTTTAGAACACACACAATTCCTTTTCTGAATAGCGTTTATCATAGGTTGGTTCAATCCATAGATGCAGAACCCAGGAACACAGAAGGCCAACTGTATTATCCAATAAACACAAAACTTAAAGGTGTGTCTTGTACTGTCTTTCTAAAAATGAACATAGCTGTGGAACAAACTCGGATGTTTGCATAACTTCAATGGCAATCGTTTTAAAACTCAAATCTAAAACTTTAAGTGAAGATAGGTTTTGTTTAAGAAGAAAAATAGAAGGAGGAGTCCTGTGTAAGACAAAGGGAAGAGACGAAGCTCCAGCGTCCCTTTCTCACATACCCACCTTTGGCCTTTACTATAAACCATGAAAAGGAGCTACCCTGACTCCCCGCAGTGAATGAACTCTGGCTTTCACCCGCAAAGAGAATTCTACTCCAGGGTTCATGGGACGGGAGGAGCATAAAGCTAAATGCAGCTCAGGTTTATGCATTCGAGCCAAATAATTGGTGAGTTTGGCCAAGTTGATTCAAGTTCATTCTGAAGCATTAAATCAAAGTGTTAGAGGTTTGGTTCCAACACTTTGGAATGCCTCTAGAGTGAATTACGAATCAGCCAAACCCCCACTCCCACCCATGTTGAGGTGACAGAGCAAAGTGGTACCAGGACCTGGCCTACGTGGCAAACATAAGCAGAAGAATCAGAAGAGTCAATTTCTTTGTTAGCAGCTCTTCTGGGCAAGCAGGAGGGACTGACGAAGGAAAGGAAGACTCTAACAAAGCAGAGACTTGGAAGAGGAAGGATACAGTTATTCTCATACAGAAGTGCAGAGAAAGGGTGGGAATCACAACGGGGATGGAAACTCAACAAAGCCCAGACTCAGGCTAGATGGTAACAGATGTTTGATAGAGGGTTCTAAATTAGAACAAACAAACAAACAAACAGAAACGAAAACAAAGAAACAAAACCCTTAATATAGGAAGAGAAAATAGAAGAGACAAGAAACCAACTGGAGCTAAGTTACATTTCCCCAAATTTATGGGAAGCAGAAGCTCTGGGATGGGGGCGCGGCAAGGAGGAGATGGAAGGGCTGAGAAGCTACGATATTAATCCTTTGGGTTTAAAACAAAGGGAGCACTTTGGGAGGCCAAGGTGGGTGGATCACGAGGTCAAGAGATCGAGACCATCCTGGTCAACATGGTGAAACCCCGTCTCTACTAAAAATACAAAAATTAGCTGGGCATGGTGGCACGTGCCTGTAATCCCAGCTACTCAGGAGGCTGAGGCAGGAGAATTGCTTGAACCCAGGAGGCGGAGGTTGCGGTGAGCCAATATCGTGCCATTGCACTCCAGCCTGGGTAACAAGAGCGAAACTCCGTCTCAACAAAATAAAACAAACAAACAAACAAAAAAACCAAAAAATGAAGATAACAAAGTTGCTACTTAGAGGAAAACATTTTATTTAAATAAATATAAAGCTTTTAACTTACCAGACATAGCATTAAAATATATCATGGGGAAATAAATGTAAATGATACTTTCCAGATCAAGCTAATCTTGATCAGCAAAATTCCAGTCTCACAGCTGACAGAACGAGAATATTCAATTAAATCTCAGAATCTTTAGAAATGAAAGGGCAGATGCCCATGCGTTGCACTTTCTTCCTGTAAAACATAAATTGGAATGCCTTGATTAACAGTGATGTCAGCTTCTACTTAGTGCCTGCAAAGGAAGGCTCCTTCGTCTGAGAAGTTTACGAAGCCTGCCCCAGAATGCTCGATGGGTTTTGATGTCAGGGACAGGGAGGGGTGGCTGGGGGACTGAAGAGTAAATGATAATCTTAACAAATGAAAAAAGATAACGATACCAAAGATGCATAACCATACTAAGAGAAAGCTAGCAGTGTGCAAGCGCATGATAGACTAAATGTTATTGCTGGGTGTGTAAAATGACATTTCTAAAAACATTTTGCCTCTAGGAGAAAACAAAATGTAAATCTGTTCTTTTCTCCGTTCTCTGTGGAAAAGTCCATACTACGATTAAATAAGGCCAGAACATTCCATCTTTTTGTCTGACAGATTCTCCCACTCTCCTTATTGAAAATAACTTAACTCCAGGAACTGCACAGCCTCTCCACAGATTCTAAATAATCACGACTCCATAGATTATTCACCAGCAGCTGTGAGCAGCACAAAGATTTTCCTAGACCAGAGCGGGGAGCATTCTGCAGCAGCCTAGAGGCAGCGTTTCCCCAGCCCTCAAGTGACTTTTAAGAGCCAGCCGGTCTGGAAAATGTTGAATTTGTTCATAGGAAAGGTAAACACTGCCAAAGTCAACAAGTTCCTTCCTTAGGGGGCTGTCGAGCAAATTGGTCTACAGATTAAGACAGTTGAGACAACTTGTGTTGGAGAAGTGAACCCCTTCGGCACTGGGGTTTTACCCTAGAACTGTATTAGAAAGCCGATAAATCTCTGCTGGAGGAATTACGAACTGTGTACTCAAGAGGTGAAGGAAATTAGAATGGATGTCTTCTATAAATATCTTAGACAAAGTGATTTTTTTTAAGTGAAAAAAGTAGGCCAGGAGGTTTAGTGAATTAGGTTAAATGCCTCAGCCACAAGGGCTAGATTGCTCGTTCTGTGTGACTTCACTGTGATTAGAACTATATGAAATGGTTTCATAGGTGAGTGGTTACAAGTCAAGTAAAATGCTTTGATTAAAGTGGAATTGCCAAACATTTTCTGAATGTCCTGTAATTAGAGCCGCCAATAAATGTAGGATGCCAGCTAAATTTGAATTTCAGATACACAACAAATAAATTTTTTTAGTACAAGCATATCCTAAGCATTGCACGTGACATACTTACACTAAACAATTATTCAACGTTTATCTGAAATTCAAATCAAACTGCACATTCGCTATTTTTATTTGCTAAATCTGGCAAGCTCAGCAGTAACACATATAAAATAGGCCTCTGTTTTTCACACTCTGACTCTCAAACCCACAATGAATTCACATTTGAGTAAGTATGGCCAGTCTCTATGTCTAGAACTATTAAGATTAAGTATTATTTATGAGATGAAAATCCAGGCAAGGTTTTCTACGTAGTTAATTCTAAAAGTTACTTTGGGGAATTGAGTTTCTTAAGGTTTCTTCTAGGTTGTATTTTATAACTATCCTGGGAGTTTTTAAAAATCCCTATGTCCCAGATTCAGCTCAAACTAATGAAACTAGAACCTCTGAATAGGACCCAGGACTTTCACCTTTTTAAAGCTTCCTGGCAACACCAAAGTGCTGCCAAGGTGAGAATCGCTGCTATAGACGGGTTGGTACCAACCTGCCAATCTGTGATCACAAAACAAAAACCAAAAAGATGGCTATTGCTGCATGGCTGAATGTCATTTCAGTTAACAGAAAATGCAGTCTCTCTTTTTTTTTTTTAATCATTCCTTGTCTGTAATTCAAAAGAACATACACAGCTACTGAAGGGAGCTAAATGGAGGCGTGAGGAATGGTGAAGAGAAGAAGGTCTTTAAACATTTTCTAAACAAGATCTTCAAATATAACAGGCATATAAAGACTGTATCAGTCTGGGTTTTATGGGCACAGCTGTTAAGTTAAACATCCATAAATCTATGCTCTTATCAAGGGACTGAAACTATATAGAAACATACATGTTTACTTTCACAGTGCATAGAGAAAAGTCATAAAGTGTGTATTTCAAGGACATAGTGCTCCACTGTTTGATTCTGTTTTTTTCCAAAAATATTTCCTATCAGTGTCAGCTATAGAACACTAAAACATGACAGAAATACCCAGCCAAATTTGGTATTTTTAAATTCAAATCATGGGTTCCTTTCCACTCCAATATGTTCTTAAAACTACTACATGTTGAAAAGATCACTAAAGTTGGTTTATTTCAGCAAATGTAACTGACAGCTGAGGCAAATGTATTGCCTGAAGACTCATATAGGAAAATTCTTTCTGGGTTTGTCCTGGAAGTGGATTGATAAGCCTGCTGTAGTGATGTATGCTTTTAAGCATTCCTTGTCAGAAAGCCCCAAGAATTGTTATATTATTAAAACCCCAGTCCCAGCACTTGCAAGGAGAGTTCCAAAGCAAGCTTCCCTATCTTATCACTTACCACTGGCCCCTCAGTGCATTTTGACACAGAGTATATTTACTTTCAACACCGACACATTCCCATGGCTCTACTCATGCCTCTCCTGGATTTAAGATTTCCATATACACTTTTCAACAAGTTGTTTTGTAATTTCAGTCCTCAAAAGGCTAGAGTTCTAATAAGAGTAGAGTTAACCAGATCTTTCATTAATACTGGAGAACTGATCATCACTATACACAACATTGATAGAATTTTTGGTTTGCCTGGTACAAGAAAAGAAGAGCTAGAAGTATAGCAATCATGAAATTATTTCATCTCTGTTCCCTTATGATACTAAATACTGTCTATATTTAAGTTCAAGGTGTTTTCCTTTGCTGGAATTGTGCCTTGTATATTGGGTGGCACACTGGTTAACTGAAAAGAGAAGCTGTCATCAGATTCAACCCAAAATACATATGACTCCTATGCTTCTGCCTTTCTATCCTTCTTTCCTCTTGCATTATGTGTTCTCAACCATTGCTCTCATCCATCTCAAACTCATATCTTAACCCATGTGTTTATTACCCACAAATGTGTATTTCCATCTCTAAAATCTCTTCAAAGTGACAATCTTATTTTTCCAGTTGTCCATAGGACATATCTCAGCTCCCTAGGCTCAAAAACGTTGACACATCAACCTTCACACAGTCAACTATTTTACTCACCCACTCCTCTTCCATAAGAGTTTCCGTATCTGTCTCTTCACATGCATTCCTGCTTCTAACTTTCTGTACCAGCAGCCTTCATTAACTAACATCCAAACGATTACTATAACCTCCTGTCTGAGCTCCCTAAATCGCCTCCATATATAGTCCGGATCATGACACTCCCCAGAGTAAAGGCATTTTTTTTTTAAAGCTTAGAGTATTTTTATTCTCTACTGACTAAACAGACCATACTAAAGATATGGAAATTAAAGCCTGGGAATATCAGTGAAGAGGGATTCTAGCAAATACTTCAGGATCTCAGTGGGAATCCTAGAAGTCTATACCTTAGGAGTAAGAGACAACCGGAGACCCATACAACAATTGCAACCAGCATTGAGTTGCACTCCCTGATCAGATTTATGTTATCTGATGCAACTCTCTGTTTCTAATACAGGCCAGGGTAAATCTCTTGAAAAATAATATCACCCAGAGTCTGCACAATGTCTGCCATTCAGTAAAAATTTACTAGGCATGTCAGGAAATTTGACCAAAGAAAAACAGTAGAAACAAACACTCCATTTAACCAAGTCATTGAGGTTATTAGAAATGGGCTTTGAAACAGCTGTATTTAATATTTTTTCAGAAGTAGATGACATAATAGAGCATTTTACTAGAGAATTGGTATCTATTTAAAAGAGTGAAATTAAAATTCTAGAGTTGAAAATGTGACCCTGAAATGTAGACTAGATAGACAAGTTTAACAGCAGATTGATACAACAAAAGAAAGAATTAGTGAACTAGTCAGGAGAAAAAAATACAGTCTGAAGCATAGAAAGCAAAAAAAAAGGATGAAATAACACAGGAAAATTGTGAATGCATAGATGTACAGTTTACATAAGTATACATATGAATATGTATGTGTGTGATATACAATATGTCTGAGACATGGAGAAAAATTGTAACATACATGTAATTGAAGTCTCAGAAGAATCGAGAGAGAACAAGGCAGAGAAAATATTGAACAGCAATCAAATCAAGATGCAAATTGTAGAAATACTTGCACGTGCACACACATGCACATGCACACACACACACACACACACACACCCCCCTAGTCAAATTATTGAAAATCTTCTGAAACTAGGGACAAAAGAAAATACTAAAAATGTCCAAAGAAAAACATGATCTCTAAAGAAGCAACAAAGATTTACAGCTGATGTCTTCGTAGAAATGATAAGACCAAGAAGACAGGAGTAGATATCTTTAAAGAGCTTAAGGAAAAAAAAGAAGAGCCAAACTAGAATTCTGTACCTACAGAAAATATTCCTCAAAAAGTGAAAGATAAATAGATATTACCATACATATAAAAACTGAGAGAATTTGTTGCCAGCAGACAAGAATATACAAAAAAGAAATTGTTTCTTTTTTTACAAACATGGTCACAAGCTCATGCTATTTTTCTTCTGGGAGTTTAGGGAAAGATATGTTGTGTCACAGTAGGGGAATAATTTTTAAATAGTTTTAAAAATAGACATATAAAATTGCATGTATTTATTGTATACAGCACGATGTTTTCAAGTGCATATTCATTGTGGCATGGTGAGATTTAGCTAATTAACAAGGCATTACCTCACGACATTGTCATTTTTGTTGCAAGAACACTTAACGTCCATTTTCTCAGCCTTTTTCAAGAATACAATATATCGTCACAAGCTACAGTAACCATGCTGTATGATAGATTTGATGTGGCCGAAGGAAAATAATCTCAGGTAGCAACACAAAAAATGCAGGAAGAAATTAGAAACAGCAGAAAGTATGTGAGTGATTGGAATCCAGTAGATGGATTGGATTTTGTGACCTGACAGAAGTGGACAGCTTTTCATTAACAATACTCCAGTGTCAGCCTCTCCAGCGACTTCTGCCACCAGGGCAGGACGTTTCTCCTATTTCCTGTTGTTACATTAGTGCCTAAAACTGTGACTGGCACACAGTAGGCACTCAACAAACATCTGTTTAACTGAATAACTGAATGAATATTGTCTTCAAGTCTGCATTATATTTAAAATTTGGGGGCAACAATAGACATGACCTTAGTTACCCAGACCCGGTGTTAAGGAGATTATGGACTGAGATGAAAATTAATGCTTATTTTTGGGGAAGGAAAGACAGGGAGAAAAGAGAGAGGAAAGGTAACTTGTAATATTGTGGAGTAACGCAGAGAAGGATCAGGGTGAGAGCTCAACCCAATTGCACTCTCTGCTCCTAAGCTATTGGAAGGAAAATCTTGTAGCCGTGGTCAGAAAAGGCAGCCAAGCTTCTTTTTGGAAATATATTTAGTCATGTATCATTTGTGGGCCAATACCCTATCAAAGGTCTTAGCAGCAATTTTAAAAGCAACACAATAAGGCTTTTAGCCTTTATGCCCATGATGAGGATTATCCTAAAGGAAAGGAAAGGAAGGATGATGCATATGTTAGCGGGTTTCTAATCAGTGAGACTCGCCGCTGTTATCCCTGTTAAGCTGAGATGGAATGGCTGTTACTGCAAGTGAATAAGGTGACTCCCTGCCACCATCACCTCAGCGTGCCGACAGCACAGCACTGCCGGTGTCATTCCTGAGTGGTCACGAGCTCATGCTATTTTTTCTGCGAGTTTGAGGAAAGATACGTTGGTGTCACAGCAGGGGAATAATAGACAAGTGTCACAGTACCACACAGACAGTCAGAGAAAGGGAAACAGATTGGGGTCTTTAACAAGGGAGCTACAGGCATTGATTACTAAGATTTAAATCTAAAATCAAATTATATGGAAAAGGCATTTATGTTGGAAGTAGGATGGGGAACATTTGTAGATGAAACAAATAAAATGACTAAAACATAATTTTCTGTATTTAATTAAATCTTAAAACTATAGAGTTTATTTTCTAGTTGATGAAAACTAAAAAAGAACAACTAATCTCCTATAATTTTATGAGTATTAACACCTTCTTTTATAATAATTTTGTTAGCATACATTGACAGATGTTTCTATTACTAGATAACATTACCCAGGTTTTTGTAACAGATACATTACATAAAATATATATTTTTAATCATTTTTCTTGAAGAAAATTAATACCTTAAAGAGAAACCAAAAGCTCCATTAATATTAAATTATTTTTAAATCAATTAAAATGTGCTTTTTCTATGATTGCAAAGGCAGAGATAAAAAGTTGTTAGAGGTAATTTTCCAAGCGCTTACGCAGGGGGAATTCTTTCTTTCTCTCCTTTTTATCAGAAATGATGATTATATAGATCCTTTTGGGGAGTAAAGTTACCTAGAAATATTTCCAGGTATAAAGCCAGAGTTTCTAGGTACTTTGGTTCTCTTTAAGCTACTTCAAAGTAATTCAAGTTTTAGCACTAGTCATCATGTCAGAGAAACAGGAATGAGGTTCTTACCTGCCGCTGAGAATGAGTTCAGAATGTTGGAAGAGGTAGACGTTTATTACAATCCTGATGCATTTGTAGTCGGCTAGAACCTCAGTGGTAAGTTTCCAAAATAAATGCTTGGTGATTAAAAACTTAAAATTTTCAGACCTCTCATTTCATCAGTCCGTGCATACTTGTCTTGGTGTTCAAAGGACTAAGAATTTCTAAACTGCATGTCACAAGATTAGACAGACAATAAGCTTCCCATATGTGTCATTTCCTTTACCCCACTTAAATTTACAGTTGGTGCTTCTCATCTACATTTGTCAATTATGATCATACAAAACAACTACCTAACTGCTGCTAATATTGATGGTTTATGTTTGTGTTGTTTGAGAATTTCACATTAGTAAAGAATTAACTGAGCTCAAGGTTGATCAGTTCTTCCCTTAATAGCTTACTATGGGCTCTGTATTTGTATGAACAAGTTTTAAAAGTACACACACACACACACACACACGTAGGCACACATATAATATCCTGCCTGCAGCTTGGTTTTAATAAACAGAAAACACGAAGGAAACCAAAATTACAACCATAAAATCCCTATCATTAATAGACAGGATCCTCCTCATTAGAAATTGCCATGCCCTCATCATTCTTCCTCAACCAGTGAGTTTGGTAGCTTAGTCATTTTAGGCTGGCTTCTGTCCTTGTTTGTCATGTCTACGTCACAAGGGTGTTGAAAGGATTAATTAGTTAACATGCAAGATTCTTTGAAGATGAAAGCATTCTGAAATTGCTAAGTGGTGCTAGCATTCTTCTATAGTACATACTCTTCTTTTTATATTTATAAAGATTTATCCACCTTCTATTAACCCTTTTGACTAACATTATTTACTCAGACTTTTAAAAAATAATCAACTAGCTTGTATTTTTCTCTACAAGTCTCAAATAATTTTTTAACTTACGTCCTCATTTCTCTCTCAGGGTTTTCTTGGGAGTATTTTTGCTCTCACTGAGAGATCTTGATATCCTTTTTCAAATCCTGCTGTGTATTTTCTTCTAGTTATATTTTTGTATTTGCTGGGATTGTGGACTGGTATACCAAAAGATCACTAAAGGGAAAAGAAAAAGTCGCTATTATGAAATCCTAGAGGCTTGGGCCAGGAGAATTATTAATTTGGATCTATTATCATAGTCCAAAGGCCAGGCAAATCTATCTGTGCGGTTCAGTGGTGCAGGGGGTGAACAGCTGAGCAAGAAAAAAATGTGCATTACTTCTAGGTCTGAATTTTCACATGCAGTTATCTAAAAAGGCTTTTTATGAGACTGAGTATACATTGAAAGAAATCTGATGAAGTGCCCTCAAGTATTCCAACTTCTTACCCTGGGTACAGCTAACAGTATCCAGGCCCATGGGTTATGGCTCTGCAAGACAGAAGAAGGAGTTCCTCCAGCAGACCCAAGCCATGAGGAGGAGGCTCATTTGCAACAGCACTGAAACATAGGGATGCTTACTACAGAGTTATCACAATTATTTTAGCTAAGTAAATCTGCAAAGCAGAGCTGGTTTCCCACGGTGAAATCCTGGGGTTTTCTTCACAGATCCAACTAGGATGTATCCCTCAAATATTTTTCGACTATTCTTTTGGCATTTTCCATTCTGATTGTAAGTGGGACCATGAAGTGTTTAAAAAAATTATTTTTCAAAAGAGTTGTCTGCTTTATTATACATAAATATATATTTGTATTTAAGATGTACAATATAATGATTTGGTATACACATATATCATAAAACGATTACCACAATCAAGCTAATTAATATTTCATGTTATTTTAAAAATATATGCTCCCCAAGAGACAATGGTACTCACTGATATCTTTTCATTAAAGAGTCTACAAAAACATAACTACATGCAAATGCTTCTGTCTTTGCATTTTGTTATTCTGCTAACATTTAGACATACTCAAATATATTTTTCATAATTTCTATCTCAAATAAAATGAGCATAAACCTGTAAAATATCCATAAGATAAAATGAAAAATGATCTTGGCACAATGTACTTATTATAATTGCATACAACACATACACATACATGTATATGTATATGACTATATCTACATTAGAAACACTTAATTATAATCTTCACTTACAAAGGCACATTTTAAAAAATACCCATTTCTTTAATATACTGAGGAAGAAACTAGCAACAAATCCACACTCTTAAAACCCAAATGACTTTTACCCTGTAAGTTTCCATATTACTATCATTAGAATTTATGCCCGGAAGGAATAACCTCAGTTCTCTGGGGTTTTGTAAAATCTGAAGAATTAAGTTTGTTATGCTCATCCACTTTTACTTATAATGTTTATATATTTTATCTATCAAATATTATATTTATCGTTTCAACATTAGATTTTAGGTGAAAGTGTCTACATACAATTCTAATTGGCATTTGAAAATGATATTTTCTTCTCCCAAGAAATCTGAAAAAAAATTAAGTAATTTATTCTCATAATTAAGAAAGTCATTCTTAAGGAATAAATAATAATATATCTGCGAAAGTATTTTGTATTTCAATACGTTACTTTTTTGATGACATAATGCCCTGTAAAATAGATGGAGGAGCTAGGATTTCCTTTATTTTAAGGCTAAAGAGGAATAAAGACGTGGAAATAAAACATTAGAAAAAAGGGTCAGAGTCAAATCATTGCACCGACAACCAAGTACCCTAGAGGAACAAGTCACCAGACTGGAGGAAACTCAGTCTAGCCCTGGACTCCGGCTCAAATCTCCTCATCAAAAACTGTGTCTAATTTTTCAAAAGAAGACATATGAGTGGCCAAGAAACACATGAGAAAATGCTTGACATCACTAATCATCAGAGCAATGCAAATTAAAATCACAAAGGGATGTCATATTACATCAGTCAGAATAGGTATTATGAAGTAAAGTGTGTTTATTTTCATCTATCAGTTCTTCTCTAATTAATTCGGTGCATCCAAATGTGTCTTTATTGAGGAATTGACACATGAATAAATACTGGATAATGACATAAATGTTCAACAATAGAATGGTAACAGATTATCATGCTACACAATTATTAAAACTGATGATAAGAGAACTTATTAATGTAAAAAGATGTTCCTTAATATGGTTATAAGATTAAAAATGTTATCTATAGTATTACCTACTTTTGTAATGTACATTCATATACATAAAATATTATGGAAGGATAGGAAATTAATTTACATTATAGTACTTATATTATCTAATTTTTAATGAATAGGTATGAGTTTTGCACCCCCAAAAAATAGTTGTTTCAATTGTGAAAAGGAAAATAGCTTAAAAATAAGACTTCAAAACATTTTAATATACCAGATCACCCGTGTTTCTCTCTAATTATTGTACTTAACTAAACATAAATATGTTAAAAACTTTGAAAGCTGGATAAATGAGGTATACTAAATATCCTAAATTGTATTTCTTTCCATTATTTTAATTGTCATTTAATAGTGAAATTTATATCAGTATTATTGACTCATATAGTAAGTTTATTTCTCTTTCTATTGTGGTATACGGCACTACTATTAGCAACTGTTCACTTTCCTCTCTATAGGAGAAACTATATATCTGCGCCCATTCCCATGTGACTTACAGAGATAAGTCCTCCTGTGGGATTTTACTTGGCCCATGAAATATGAAGCAAGTGATATCCAACTGGAGGCTTTAAGAGCCATTGCACAACTCATTTCTCCTTCCCTCTGCCATATAAACTGTATGTCATAGATGGGGGATGAGACTTTAGCCCAGTTAGTACGATGAAGGAAATGTGTGGGATCCAGAACAAAGCTGTCATTGAATCATGACCAATGTGTAACTTGAGTGAGAAGTAAACCAAAGAAATCAGTCAGTGTGTCAAATCAGACATCTTACCCAAGATCCAGCCTTTACAATCAATTTCAATAGTACAATCAAGAAGCATAGACAAAAAAGAGAGAGGCTTTGGACTTCCAGATTGACTCTCCAGGAGAGCACCAGAAGGAAAGCTCTCTATTATCGGTATGGTTGCTTCACAGAGCCAGGAGACTTTAGGTTATAAAACATCTCTACCTTATTCTCTACCAGGGATATCCTGCAAGGAGCTCTCTATAGGTAAGAACTCTCTAGTCATAGCAAATGTCACTGGTTTTCAGCACGTTTGCCAAAAGTGAAATCATGCCACCTAATTTCCTTCTTTGGGAGCATCCCCTTGGTAACTGGAAAAGACATGAGTTACAGGCCAGTTGCTTTGCATCCTTCCTCCCCAAGAGCAAACAATTTGGCCATAGTATTAAAAAACAATACAACTAGTAAATAGTGGCAGCATTAACATTCATGTTGAAACATATTGATGATTTGTCCATGCCAAGCAGTTAAGAACCTGGCACCCCACCACCATTCTATGAGATTGATATCGCTACCATCCACAGTTTTGAGATGATTAAACTGAGAATTCAGTAGAACGAAGTGAATACATGCAAAATGTAAGGGTCACCAAAAATTTCACCGATTAAGATAGATGATATGCTAATGCAATATTCTTAATAATCCACACTAATGCAAAAACTATAATAAACTATGTATCAAAATATTTTTAAACACTATCATTATGATTTTTTCTTTTGCTTCAATATTGCTCAGCATAGCATTGATGCTGACACCGATCCCATCTTTACATAAAATGTTGATATTTTGTTCATAAACTTTTTCATTAATAATGCTTTTTAAAATATTTCATTAAAATATTATTTATGCTGATTACTGAGCATTTAAGTCAATAAACTTTATTTGAGCAGTTTTAGCCTTACAGCAAAATTGGGTGGAAAGTACAGAGAGTTCCCTTACCCCCCATCCCCACACACAACCTCCCTCATTATCAGCTCCCCCTGCCGGATTGGTATATTTGTTACAGTTGATGAACCTACATCAACACGTCACTGTCACTGTAATTTACATTAGGATTCACTCAGTGTTGTACATTCTTTTTTCTTTTTTTTTTTTTGAGACAGAGTCTTGCTCTCTCACCAAGCTGGAGTGCAGCGGCATAATCTCAGCTCACTGCAACCTCTGTGCCCTGGGTTCAAGCCTCCCAAGAAGCTGGGAGGCGTGTGCCACCACACCCAGCTAATTTTTTTGTATTTTTAGTAGAGATGGGGTTTCACTGTGTTGGCCAGGATGGTCTCTATCTCTTGACCTGGTGATCCACCCACCTGGGCCTCCCATAGTGCTGGGGTTACAGGTGTGAGCCACTGTGCCCGGCCCAGTGTTGTACATTCTATGGGTTTTAACAAACAAAGAATGACATATCTAACTCTGATTCTGATGCTTGTTGAGTCTTCAAATTGATCCACTTGTTTTAGTATGCCTTGTAATTTTTTGTTGAAAG